ATTTCGTTTGGCTGTATAACCCATTCCAAAACCACCAGGTTGAAGCCCAAGAATATCATAAAAATCACTAACTGGTTAAAATGATAATATTAATATATCTGACTGATTTTTTGTTCAATAGCTTAGTTATTATGTCCAGTGTTCATCAGGTTTAAGGGGTGTGTCCCTTAGAATACATGGATATACACAATGTCCAGTAACAAAAGAATATCTGATCGTAATGCAATATGCTAATGAGGGAAATCTTTTTTCATACTTGGAAAAAAATATCAACAAATTGACATGGCGGATGAAACTACGTTGCCTGCATGACATTGCAGCGCGCCTGAGCATAATTCATGAGCTAGGATTAATTCATTGTGACCTACATGCCAAGAATATAATTCTAAACAGAGAAAAGGGTGCGACAATAAGTGATCCATACATCTGTGATCTTGGAGTTTCCCGGCCAGTGAATTCAAAAACATCGAAATATTATGGAATTAAAGAATACGTTGCACCAGAAATCCGGCAACATAAACAATGCTTGCAGGCATCAGATATTTATTCTTTTGGCATTCTCATGGCTCATATTGCCACCGGTGAGCCACCTTTCAGAGACAGGACAACGGAAGAAATTCATTTTAGTTTTGGGGCATTAAAACCGACATTGCCTGCTTCAACACCAGAGCCTTATAAGCAACTTGCCGAAAAGTGTTGGGATAAAGACCCTAACGAGCGTCCAACTATATCAGAAGTTCTTAATACAATCAAAGGAATTTTTAGTGAGATTGATAAAGATACGTCTCTCAAAAAGATATGGGAAGAAACGCTTGATAAAAGCGTAAAGCCTTTATCACAGGCTGAGAAGAGGAGATATTCTAGTAGTAGTTATGAAGGTATGAAACAACGAGTTTTGTATTGACTATGTGTTTAATTCAAAGTGTATTAATTAATAGTGACCTTACCGATCGATTTGGATTAATCGTTTTCTTGGATTAGAAATCATTTCAAATGAATTACTATGCACATTTACGTTACTTACATTATCTTATGCTTGATACTGTACTTTTGATTTTTTACTACTACTACTCATATTCTATCTTATACGCGAATGCCGAGAGATTTATTCTTATCCCGAATGGGCTCCCAGACACACGAAAGAATGTTTACATCATTAGCGTTGTATTTGTAACCGCGCCGCGATAACAATAAATTCGTTAACAACTAAGAGATGTCAAACTTTTGACAACGATGTAAGCATTTGTTAATAAAATACGTATCCATAGCATTAACGGCGTTGAGTTTTATAGTAGCGCGGGTGACTATTTTTTCCGACAGCGTACACCCGGTGTTTTAGAATATAAAAAATGTGACAAAATCATGGCCGAGATATAATCTCTTAATATTAATATTAATTGGTTGGTTGAAAAGATTTTACCGGTCAGCAATTGACAACTTAATATTAATCGCAACAAGTAATGTATAAACTTAACAGCTAGGTAATAGTAAGGTCAAGCCCTATAAATGTTATTCGCAAATGTAAACGAAGACAATGCTACTCATTTCTCGGAAAATGGTCATTTAATTTTCGATAGCTATTTGTTGTTGATTAAATTTGCACCAAAATATCTTGTAATGTTTGAGTAGTTCTTCGTAATTAATAAATAAAAGTTATTACAACAAGCAAAATTCGTGTATGTTCAGGTATCGCCTTCATCGTAGTGACAAACACAACATACAATTGTTAATAATTGTGGCAGATT